AAATGAGTCAAAACAAACTTTTATTTTAGTCTGCATGTTTTGGAAAAGGGTTGGCAATATACTGTTTAACATACACATATTGACTGTTCATGTATGTATGTAACTGCAATTCAAGCTATTCTTACCTCATCTTTACTTTTTTTTTTTTTGCTATCTGCTTCTGACATAAGCCATGCTAATTAAGAATGGCTGGCTAGGCGGAGTTCTTATGATTCTCATTAGTTTTTGTTTTAAGAGCTATCTTAACAAAAGCAGTGGACAAAAAGAGTGCAAGTCTCAATGTTAAGGACATACCAGGTGCAGAAACACTTGATTTTGCAGATGTACCATAAAATTCATAACTAAGTAAGGAGGTATGGCAAGTCAAGGACTGTGACAATATCTGGATTTCAGAGCTCTGCAGATGCACTCCTTGCTATTGGTACTGCTGCTGGCAGAAGAGTTGCTTTCCATTGAAGGAAGGGTCCAAGAGTTACCAGAAGCAGCAGTGCTGGCTGACATTAAGAAATCCGATAGTAAAATAACTGAGATTCCTCTTCAGTAATGAACTAGATGATCGTAGAATCACAGGATGATTTGGGCTGGAATGGACCTTAAAGGTCCCCTGGGAAGGATATTTCCCATTCGACCAGGATGCTTAAAGCCCTACCCAGCCTGGCCTTGAACACTTCCAGAGATGGGGTATCTACAGTTGCTCTGGGCAGCCTGTCTCTGAGCCTCACCATCCTTATGGTGAAGAATTTGTTCTGATTATCTAATCTAAAAATATCTCTTTTTTTCCCCCTAGTTTAGTTTAGTTTAGTTTAGTTTAAAGCTGTTACCCTTGTAACATGTCTGTGTCTTTCTTTTGCTGCAGACCCCATATCTGAACACAGTTCTTCAAGTGAGGTCTCATGACAGCTGAGTAGAAAGGGGGAAAGAATGCATCCCACGGGAGTTTTCAGATGATAAAAAATCTGGGAGGAGTTGTGCTGTCATGCAGTGGGACCTGAACAGGCTGGAGAAATGGGCTGACAGGAAACTCATGGAGGGAACTTTGACCTTGGAAGAAGTATCTCCACTCACCACACACAGGCTCAGGCAGACCAGTTATAAAGCAGCTTCGCCTAAAAGAGCCTGGATGTCCTTGATGACAAGTTGAAGATGAGGCAGCAGTGCGCCCTCGTGGCAAAGAAGGCCAAGCGCGTTCGCGCTGCATCGGGAAAAGTGTTGCCATCAGACTGCAGGAGGTGATCTTCCCCCTCTGTTCAGCACTGGTGAGGACACTGCTGGAGTGCTGTGTGTAATTTGGGGCTTACCATTAGGAGAAATGCATAGACTTAGTGGAGCCGGTCCACTGAAGGGACACTCAAATGATTAAAGGACTGAGGAGGCACCTCAGATGAAGACAGGTTGAGAGAGATGGGATTGTTCAGGCTGGGAGAAAAGGAAGCTCAAGGAGAATCTCGTCAACGTGTAGAAATGTCCAAAGGGAGGCTGTAAGAAAGGAGAGCCAGGCTCTTTTTGCTGGTGTCTGCTGACAAAACAAGAAGTAACACAGGATGTTCTGTCTGAACATCAGGAAAGTAGTTTTTTTTACTGCAAATGTGGCTGAACACTGACTGGCACATGTTCCCAGAGAGGCTGTGGAGTCTCTGTACTGGGAGATATTCAAAGCCATCTGAACGTGATTCTGGGCAGACTTCTCCAAGTGATCCTGCTTGAATTGGCAATCTACCAAAGTCTGTTCCAGCATCAGCTCTTCTGTGATTTTGTGTTATTTAACCAGTGAACCTAAAGCAACCTATTGCAACTTGAAGTCTAATGGCAACATATTTTACCTCAGGATGCTGGTTACTGGTTTATCATTCTGCTTTTCAGGAGTTCCATATTATTATACCTTAAAGGAATGTTTTTGAATGGACTTCTTTCTTGCTGTGGAATGTAATTGGTGTCTCTGTTCATTTGTTTGCTTGCCGTGTTTATAGAGTCACTTAATGACTTAATGCACACTGCCAAAGAAAAAAACTGCTAAGCAGTTGAGGAGATAGCCTGGAAATCTGAAAGTTGCTATGGAAGACAAAAATTTTGGCACCTCAGCTACACATTTCTTTGTGCCTTACTGCTGTTTTCATTACCACAATAGCCCAGAGGATTAATGCATTTAAATAAATATGAACTCAGATTTCCTCTGAAGCTCATTGCTTTTTAACGTTCTTTAGGTGCAGAAGGTATTTAGGAATGGTTTCAAGACCAAGAAAAGAGGAGGCAGTGAAATTGGTAAGGTAATAGAAGAAAGTTGGCAGCCTGCAATAGAGGGGTGGCAAGTGATTTTCTTCTTAGAGAAAGGGGAAAATAAACAACTTCACTAATTAGGAACAAATAAACCCAGCCCATTGAGTGATGGCTGATGGTAGTTTATGGCAGTGTTAGTAGTCAGATGGTAGTGGTAATTTTTTGTGTTTGTTTTATTTTGATTTGTTGTTGTTTTTATTTTGTTTAAGTGAATGTGTTTGAGAAGGACTCTGAGTCCTAGCATAGATTTCCAGATGCCTTCTTCATGAGCTGGCAACTGTTTCTTACTATGGACAAACACAAAAGGTCAGTGATGGTTTTTATGCCTTACGCCTGACAAGCTGCACATCAAGGCTGATGAGAGTTTTGAGGCTGAGAGTGAAAGTCTACGGGGTGCTTGTGTGAATCTAGTCATTTCAAAGATGAAAGTCATATGAGGCTTGTTGTTTGTAGCAATAATGTGGACTCTAGCTGTTGCTCAGGCAAGACTTCCATGTTAGTGATGATTTGAGCTGAAGAATGACTTCAGTGGGAAGCGAAATGTTAGAGGGAAAAGTGAACTGAATATGTTTAACAGCATGTGTTAAAAGGACCAAGAGAAACCTGGTGAATATCTTCCTGAGTTAGTACACCTGGCTATTTGATACAAGCTTTATTTATGGAATCAAATAGTGATCAAGAGTTTGAGGAGATTGAAGGACCCATTGGAGATATGTTTAGCAACCTGCAGCATGGGATCAAAAGGTCAAGTTTTTGGGCTGCAATTTGATATTTTATCTTTGAGGTATATATGCTAGTAGGTCCGGGTTGGATGCATACTCACAGCTGTGAGTTTATATCCAGCTCTGTGAATGGACAACTGAAACACTGTTCTGTTCCAGGTCATTGCAGCAATACCTTTCTTATTAGTTGCTTCTGAGAGTGGATTCTGGGAGTATTTCCTCCCTGAGAACACTGAGTGTAGCTATTCCCCATACACTGCTTTAACAGCAGGAGAGTAAATCACCAACACAGAAAAATACGTATATTTTAATGTCATTAAATAACTTTGCTATCAAATATAAAACCTTACATGAAAATAAGAGCTGTGACTTTTCAGATAATTTGAATGATACTAATCTGAATAAAAATGTTTGGCTTGTTGGAATAATAGCTTAATGAACCGACTCCCAAATGGTTTTACAAACTCCAGATAACATGCAAATTCTCTTAGTCAGGTGGAAATAAAGGTGAAACTGAGGTGGAGTCTAGCAATTGTTAACATCACTTTACAGGAAAGAATATTTTTGCCAAGTAGGAACAGTGGAGAATTTATGTCCCCAGAATGCAAATCTGAGCTGAATTTTGTCTTGAGAATGTAATGTTAATGTCCATATTATGGACAATCAAGATCTCAAAAGAAATTTGTCTCAGATCTTCTGCATTTTTCTTGAAAGTTGCCAGTAGCATTGCAGAAAATAAAATTCAGACATTGTTCAAGATTGAGGGCTGGAATATTTTGAATGGAACAAATAAATGAAAGGTAAAACTATATCCTGTAGTTGAGCATAGCATCATGTATGGATTGCTGTATCTTTAAACTTGGAAGCCAAAGAAAGAGAGAAGACAGTCAACCAAACTGGAACATGCCCCACTTATTATTTTTTTCAGTATCTGCTTTGCCTAACTTTGTATATCTGGATTTCTACACAAATGAATGATACCTCATGCTTTAATATGCTATCCCTGCATCCATCTGAAAAAAACCTGTAGTACAGCATCTGGTCAGTATACATAAAATGTTAATTTTGGATAGGTTGTTTTTTTTTTTTTTTTTTTAAAGGTATAATAACAAAAAATTACATTCAAAACAATTTTTTTCTTTCAGTTATTTCTAGTTTTAAATGCCCTATGGAAATTTCATGGCTTTTCTCAGAAGGTGGGGCAGTGTCTTTAGGTTCCTTTTTCTACCATGGAATGTACAAGAAAGTTGCTGGTACAAAGCCCGGAGCATTTATGGCCCATGATTAAATACCCTGACTCTGATCATATTTTCAGCAAGGTCAGTGATTCACAGGTTAGGGCCCAACCCTATTTCTGAGACATTCACTTCTGCAATCCTTGCTGTTCTGCTCTCTTCATTGACTCTCACTGACAGCATTTTACAGTGTCACAGAGCATAATGAAAGATACAGCAAAACAGTCACAGGTGTCAAACACAACCATACAACTGAAGACTGCAGGATCTTGAGGAGCGCTTAGACTTTTAAACAGCTTCTCCTTATGCAGACGCTCAGGATTCTTCCAAGTCAGCCTCTGCCCTTAAAAAACCTGCCACAGTGAGAGTAGTGCTGCTAAGTGCTAGGCTGTTTCCTGTGGCCTTGTCAAAGGGTGAAGGAGTCTCAGCAAAAAACAAAGCAAAAGAAAACAATGAAAAGAAGATATTTTGTACTTATAACAGTTGGAGCAGTGGCTTGCTGTGCTTCTCTTCTTATTTGTTACTGTTGACAACGTGGGTAGATTTCTGCCCTTCATATCTCACCATCTTCCTACCTGTCCAGTTGCTAAATACATTTTTGTGTTGGAAGAAAGGTCTCTTTATTTTTTTTTTTTCTTTTTTCTTTTCTTTTTTTTTTTTTTTTGTGGCATGTGGATGGCAAAGTTTTCATCTCCTCTTTCCAGATTTAATGAGATCACTAAATTCAGTTCTTTATATCTAGGTAGTACCACAGAAGGTAAAACCACATTGATCCATTCAGATGTGAATCAAGCCACTGAGTGCAGGAAGGTCCAAGGTGGCATTTCCTCTTAGTGATCAGGACTGCAGCCAGAGTAACTGCACCAGGAGCCAGGAAAATTCATGTGTGTGCCAATTAATAATGTAGAAGACTGAGGTGAACACTGACAGTTGTTCAACCAAAAAGCCCATTAAATCAGGAGAGTGTTCCCCAAAGGGTAGAAAAAACTCATAGAGACAGATAGAGTACTGTATTTGCTACTGTTCTATAGCAAAAATAAAAGCAAAGAACACTGGACAGTGGACTTCAGTCATCAGATGGAAATATTACATGTTCTGCAGGGTGTTTGGAGAGGATTTTTGTTCTGGCACGGCATCTGAAACAATGGGACCTCAGACCTCACTATGTGCAGAAATGGCTCCCAGTCAGCAGTCTATAGCTGCTGGCCTCTATTTCAAGCTGGATACCTTTTAGACTGCGAGACTGACACCTGAAATAGAAGAAGATGTGATTTACAGAAATATGAGAGAGAGGAGCTGAAATAGTTAATGATAAATGTTCTCTTATCACAGGATTTGGAGAAAGAATGAGAAGGGCCTCAGGACCCTTGGGTGTGCAAGAAAGCAGGACTGATTCTGAGGAATTAATTCCCTTCTTAATACAAGAAGGGATAGATTATGATGTCAGCATAATCATCCTCTCAGTGCAGAATGAAGCCTGGACTGCTGAGACCTAGTGTTGCAATAAAACAGAGAAATGGAATGCAAAGATCACTTGCTGTTTCTGTTGTAAGTATGGTTCACTGCTGGGCCACCTGTGTTGGACCAATGTCCTGGGTCCTTCACCTCAGCGATGATAGAACTGCCTGTACATAATGCAGATCCTCTCTCATCCCTCTCCCAGCTGTACTTTTCTTACAGATGGTGATGGACAAACAAAGACTTATATAAATCAATGATTTTAGGAACCAAATCTACCAATAAGCCATAATAAAAGATGAAGCTGCAGGACAAAATAATAAAGCTTGTGCCATGGCAGTCTAACAGAGCACAAAGAAGGAGAAATGGATTACAGGGTGAGACATGAGAAAGGTGTTTGGATTTACTGCTGGATGGATGAGATGTTTCAGGAACTAATTTGTCCAAGGAAGTTTAAGTCCGGCATAAAACTCAGCTTTCTGTCAGCAGCTGAATGTAGACAAAAGGTTCATTGAAAAAAGAAAGCAAAGCCTGTGATTTAGAGAAGAGCTGAGTGACAAGTAATTACTTACTCTGGCTGGTAGATGAGATATTTCTGTTCTTCAATATCAAAAAACCCAGAAGAAGTGTGATCAGTACAATTACAGCTATAAGTGGGCCAAAGAAATTTACTTTCACCGGTTCCATTTTTTCTGCCTGTATCTCTGAATAAGAGAAGAGAGAAGATGCATGTAGCAAAGATTTAATTTGCCGAGAATTAGCTTAACCCATCCTAACCCAAATTTATGTAAATTAGAAGTTTATAGAAGGGCCCTAATTATCCTTTGCTTTTACAATGTTTAATAATGCTAGGAAATCACTCTCCATATGTCTTATTTTGTTTTGTTTTTTTTTCCCCAGTAGCTAGCAGGTGCACCAAGGCTAACAACCACTTCAGCAACAGTAAGGAAAAGTGCTATTTCTGATGTTTGGGTTATGTGAGAGATTGGCAGCTTGATTAATACAAGAGCCTATGATGCCAATGCTAGGCTACTACTACTCTGCTACTGAAAATTTAAATAGCCTGGGATATGTTATTATGTAGTATCTGTTGAACCGAAGATCAAAGCTTAATGAAAAGCTCTAAGGGATGTGAGAGAGCTAGGGAATGCACGGGAGTTTCCTTCTGTTTCTGGTTATTTTGCTTTTGAGGTTTTGGTTGCTAGGGATAGCAAGTGACACGGCTGCAATTGTCACTGAATAAAGGTCTTTTTCTCTAGAGTTGTTAGTTTCTTATCCACCATTTCTGTTTATTAGGTGGCTACTTCTTAAAGTCAGGGATGAGAAGAACTGAACAAGGAGGAGGAGGAGGCACTACTATGGCTAATATTAGAGGAGGTGTTAATACTTTGAGCAACATGTAGAGCTTTGCAAACCTCCGAAGACTTCTGTGTTATAATTTATAAAATCCTGGAGTGTAAGGACATCAAAGGCAGTTTGCCACATACAGCAGTGATGACTGAATCCTCTAGTTAAAGTTTAGTGAAGAAAACTGATTTGTAGATCTTTTTGGTAAATCTTTTTTCCATCCGGAGTAGTAAGTAAGCAGTAAATGGGGAAGCCTGTAAGTAAGTAGTAAACTTCTCTAATAGGCTTTCTGCAGTGTTACCAGTCCTTTTGGGTTTCTTGTTCCCATCAGGTGAATAACAGCATTCCACATTCAACACAGTCTTAAAGGAGATGGGCAAGGCAAATGACCGAAGTGGGAAGCAATTCTATTTTGATGTATTTGTGCCATAGCTTATGAATACAAATGTATAAAAAATGAATCCAGGAGAATGTTACAGCATCATGATATTCATGAGGGCTCACTCTGGCATGTAGTTTTTCAGTTAGAAAGGGTAAAGTAAACTGTGAGGCACACAAAGAATATCTACACACAACTGACACTGTGATCATTAGGGAACATTTGGGATGGCACAGAGTCTGAATTTCTTGCAAGAGTTGTCTGAAAAGAGGCACAATCCCAGAGAAAAAGAAAAATCCCCAAATGGTCATTTTGGAATGCACACTGTATTCTGCCAAATGCTGTGGAAACCACTAGGAATACTTCCAAAACCCATCAAAGTTTTGTGGCCTTTACATTTTAGTTCAGTATAGTCTATTTTACAGCTTGTGAGCGAAATTTGGTCCAAGGGACTCTTCTGTTCAGCCCTCTGCCTCTCTCTAGAAAGAGATTAGGAGCAGCAGCTCAAGAACTTATACATCAGAAAAAAAACACGTTTGCAGTGTGAGATTCGTCAAACACTGGAACAGTCTGTTGAAAGAGGTTGTGGAGTCCCATCCTGAGAGAGATTTAAAACTCAACTGGATAAGGCCCCAGGCTGATTTCCAGATGCTTCTCAAACCTCAGCAGTCCTCCGTGATCCAGCAGGCTCTATCTGAACAGCTAAACACCACCTCCAGAGACAGGCTGAATCCTAATCCATGTATTTAATTTGCTTTGTTGCTGCAGCAGCATTTGGGGATAGGTGAACAAGACTGTGCTCTGTTCTGTGCAGCAGTAACCTTCCTTCTCTCTATGCTCTCCTTTCTGTAATAAGGCTTCCCATGGAAAGACAGAAGAGGGAATTTGCACTACCTGTGCAAAAATCAGAATGAGCAAATGAAAACTCACCTATGACTAGTGGCACTGAGGTAAGGCTCCCCTGCTGCTCTCCAAGGTGAAGCAAACAGCTAATATTAGTGAGTGTATTTGTAGGAACTGGGATATTCAGCTTGCTGGTAACATTATACAGCTTTGTTACAGCATCCTGTAAGACATCCATGCGTTGTATAAGCCTATCTGTTATGTTTTCACTTGAAATTATCCAAATCATCTGCTTGGGCTCTGGATAACCTCCGCTGGAAGAACAGGAAAGATTCAGGTTCTCACTGGGCTTTGGTTCCCCACTGTGTAGCTGTGCTATCACAGGTTGACTATAGTTGGCTGAAACAGACCAAAGAAAAAGCATCATGAGTCAGACGTACTCCATCTTGTGACAGTGCCTGTCAATATTTTGAGATTTTCACGTGGAATCACACCTAAACAGTTTTCCTAGGAAAGCATTGTGGGTCCCAAGAAGGGTTTGTTATGTTTTGGCTGCACACATAGACTTGCTTCTTCTTGTCTTTGAAGCATTTCAGTGACATAGGTCATATCAGCCAGATAGTGAGACTGTCTCTCTTACCTTTTCTAGACCAATTGGTACCTCGTAATAAACAAACCTGGCCTGCTCAGCTTGACTTTTTATGTGAAAGTGACTACCGTACAGGTTCCTTTACTCTGTGCCATTGGATCTCACTCAATGAAAAACTTCCCTGTTGCTTTAAAAAAAGAGTTTCCCAAGCAATAAATAATTGGTGAAAAAGGACTGGAAAGGACTATTCGAACATGTGATGTGAAGGATAATGATAGCTTTTAATCAAAGCAAAAGAAGTTTCAGGCTCAAAACTTCATTGAAAATACTGAAGTATGTTGATATTAAAGTCTTTTAGTACTAAAAACTATATGGAGAAGAGGCAGGAGTTTCTTAGGGAGATATGAGTGAAATGGATGGTCTGATTCTTCAGTATACACATTTGAAGTGTCAGATCCAGGCTCTAAGCCTAGCCCCAGTGAATTTGAATCTGTAACTGAAGATAATGTCTTCCAAATAGGCTACGGACTGAAATACCTCAAGAGACGATAGATCCATCAAGACTTTAATATTTTTCAAGCAGTGTTATCACTCTGACTTGTTTTGTTTCTGCATTCTGAAATGACTGCATGGCTTACTTCTCCTCTGTTTCTAATAGCTCTTATATCTTCACTGAATTAATTGGCCCTTTAATTATCCAATATTGAATGTGTATTTTGGGTAGCCGCTCTCTGAAAATAAGAGTCTCCTCAGTTTTCTTAGTTAGAAGGTGATCAGATTGATCATTTAACATCTCTAGTTGAACTGTATGTTTTTTCCAGCCCTCAGATATCTTTAGAAGAGATTTTATTCATGCTTTTATGTTTTTCAACAATCCCTCTAAAATGAGGACAGATACTGTAGTATCTATTCCAGCACAAGTTTCACCACCAACAGCAACAGCACATGTTTTGAAATAGCTTTCATTGTCTCATCTGCTTCCCTTATGGATCCATCTTAAGTAAACACTAGAGATGTACTATACATAAACATCAGAATTTCCAGTTAAGCAGCTTCTCAAAATGACCCCTTCCTGTCTGTTTTACAAAACTTTTCATTATGAAGCCCTCTCTTTCTGGAGAATGATCTGTGTTCATTGTTCTTACATAAATAATCTTGTCTGTAAACAATACATACACTATATATCCATCTATCTGTACCTTGTCCTGTATATATATATATATACACATAAATAACATACCTAAGTTACGTTAGAAGATACTTATGTATTTGGAATAGATTTGGTCACCAAGAGATTGGTTTGTTTGACTGACCTTTCCCTCTTGTACTACACTCAAACTTTCTTAAGTCCACTTTAAGTGTGAAACTTCATACCACATAAATAGCCTTCCACATATTCTATGCGATTCTACCTAAGAAACAGGCAGAGATACACTTCAACGTTTGTACTTTTTCTAATTATTTTTTATTTTAATTGACCGCTATATTCTACCTTCTTTTGGGAAGTTACTGAAGAGAAAGACATTCGAAAGAAACAAAGAAGCAAATAATTTTAAACACGCTTCCTATATCAAAGGTTTGGGAGAGTTTTAATGCCTATGTATGAGACTTCTGCAACGTGTTAAATTAATTGAGGACTTGCTATTGAGTGCAAATGGTAAGTCTCTAAGGTCTGAAGCTGCTGAAAATATTCATTGTGTAAATTCTGTGAAAATTAGAATTAACAACCTACGTTTCCTATTTGCTTGTGCATCAAGGGAACACTTGCTGGTAGTACAGTGCTAAATAGTCTCAAGCATTGTGGTGATCTTTCTGGCTGCTGTTGCACATGGCCTACATTCTTTTGAAGCCTGAGAACACCAGTAGAAATCAGAAGCTGCTGTTATTAATGTTACCACTGTCCAAGTGGAAGAGAGAACATACACACAAAGGTGACAAAGAAAATAATATAAAATAGAAAAACATTATATAAAGATGCAATTCCTAAAAATCTGAAAAAATACTAGGAAAAGATTACTTCCTCACTGAACCCTACTCGCCTGTAGTCTGTCCTTGCCTCTGATATTGTGCCAGAAATCAAGCTGAGTCTGATCAATGCCTGAATTTTTTTCTGCAGAGATATTTTCAGTCCTTCCATAACTGAGCATATGATGTTCTACTCCTCCACATATTAGCTGCTCTTTTCTACATTTTTCCTATGATTTATATCGTCATAAAATAGCTGGATATTTGCAGAAAACTTTTTATGTTTCATCTGTAATTTACCACCAACATTCTTAATGCTATTGCTTTTAATAGAAGTCAGTGCTTCAGATGCAAATAAAAACTGTATTTTCTGGAGTCCTAGAAGCCATAAAACTTGCAGGGAGCAAGATGAAGAGGGCAGGGTGCTTTTCACTATACAGTGTGACAGGGTGGGAGTTAGGAATGTGTAATATTGAGCAAATTATTTCCTCTTTTTTTCTACTTCTTCCAAATTCACAATGAGAATTTTCTGAGAAAGAAACTGAGAAGAAGCACTTCTATCCACTTTAGAAATTCTCTCCACTTCAGCTAGACCCCCCCAGTGGCATGGGAACAGTCCATGTTTGAACTAAACAAAATGACAGAAACCTAAAAAGAAAATAAAACAATCAAACAAACGAGCTCACAAAACAACAACAAAAAAAAACAAACCAGATGACAACTAGCAGAAATTACTTACCAATGACGTGCAGTAAGCACTCAGATTCGTGTATGATCTTTTTTGGTCTGTGGTCCATGTGCATAATAATACATTTATACTGCCCCTCATCCACAATCCTTACATTTAACAATTGCAAAGTCCATTTGTCCATATCCATCTTGGTACGATTTATGTATTTAGGACTAAGGTGATCATATATTTCCTGGCCAAGGTAAACTTCGTGTACCACTTCACCTGTACCTTTTTGCCAAAAAACTATTATATTCTTTATGTCAGTTTTCTGAGAGTTTGGGAAATAGCAAGATAGGTATGCAGTGTGATTGAGAAATGACTTCACGTGATGTACATTGGCAGCAATACCTTAAATAAATAAAAAAAAGAGAAGAAATTAAGATTTCCATCAGCTGCAAAAGAATACCAAATGCTTGCAGTCATGGAGGCAATACTTAGTGACAGTAGCATAAACCCACCAGCATTTAGACAAATTCTCCACTACCTATGAGAGGATACATACTTCTTCACACCGATGCACTTAGTCTTGTGGCATTCAGGTCATAAATCCGTGTCTTATTTTCCTTCCTATATTTCACTTTCCAAGGCAGGCTTACCACTCAGAGCCAGGGACAGTTTGTATTTTGGAAGATTTAACTTCAGGCAAAAGGCCACAGCTCCACACTGTTCTCAAATGTGTAAGCAATGAGATTCTGTTGTGAATGAGGCAACTGCATAATTTGTTTTTCAAAACTCGAGTTCATTCTCTTCAGGAAACAACACAGCGGTGCAGTTTTGAAGACAGTGTGAATGCAGCATATGTGGTATATGTTGGTGTCTAGGGAATATATGGCCAGGAGGTCAGAAACAGGAAAAGCTTTCTGTTTCACTGAAGAATTAATCTAAGTTTAATGACAAATTAAATGTCAGATTTAACTATTCTGTAATTAATCCAGAGTTTAATGGCAAATTAAATGTCAGATTTAACAGCCCTGTTGCTGAACTTGTTAACAGAAATAGTCAATAAACACGATTATGCCTTCATGCATCAAAAGAATGGACTATATTACATACAGGATGATTATTCTCCTACTTCCATCACAACCTATATCCACTGATATTATGGGGTAGAGATGGGCTGGGAGAATAATCTTTTCTTGTCATGAGAAATGCAGACCTCTGTTCTAGCAGATACAAACACATTTGCTGTGTTCAGAAGATGCACTGTTTCTCTCCTGAATCAAAGTTTTGACTGATTTTCTGGAGCACAAGACTGCAGTGATCTTCATAGCTGCCTAAAACTCCATTTATTCCTTATCAAGCTGTCAGTCTTTAGTTCAATACTGCTGTCCTCTCTTATATACAGAGGGGATATACACATGTTCTCAAAAATAGATTTAAATTGAAAATTTAAGAGCAACACGAAGAATGTATAATGTAAAGATACAAAATTGAAGAGAGAAAGTACTTTCTACATTTTTTTTTTAATAGAGTCCCTGCTCACAGTTTAAATACATATCACACAGGTTATATGACTTTGATTTTACAATTGAAATTGCTAATTACTACTAAAGAAGGAGCATCAAAGTAAATGTAAATGTATCACATAGCAGGACACAAATAATCTAAACATTTTTTACAGTTAAAAATCTGCCTCTTACCTGGGAGAAGTATTATGGCAAAAAGAAAGAATATGCAGACCTCCATGATGCTGTAAGAAGGAAAAATTAAAGAAGTATTTTAGAGGTTGAAAACACTGCAGTGCCTTCTCCAGTGCTCCCCAAGTAGCAGTAAAACAGGAAGAAGTTTTGAGAGAGATTTTTGAGAAAGTTAATCTCACATTTCCCTTCAACTAGTGGAAATGCTTCTCTGCGCTTTAACAGCCATTAGCAACCAGAAGCATGCTATGACAGACCTCTGGTTTACATGACTGTGGTGAGGTTCAAGATTACTGGGTATGCCATGGGAAGGGCACAGAGTCTATGGACTGCAAAGGGCCAGAGTGCCCAGAACAACTGGCAGAGAGGAGAGAGGAATGGGGAGCATGCCTGCCCTTAGCTGAACACGGAAGAAGATGGGGAATTGAAAGCAGAGGAAGAGGAGAGGGTGACACAGGAGAAGTCGGTGGTGGAGACAGGCAGCACAATGATGTCAACTACCAGAAATGATGAAATGGGTAACCTTCCATTGTGTAACAGGAACCTTTCCTTCACTATAAGGAAAGACAACTGCAATCAATCCTGCGGGGTTTAAAGAGTTGAGGCTACGTGTCACCTGGTTTGGTCAAGAAAAATAAGTATCTATTTAAGAAAAAAAAGCCTTTTGACTCATCTCATAAGCAGAACACTTCTGTGACTGAATTCACATAGCGAACCTATATAATCTTGTTTAACAGTCAAGGCCCTTTCTCCAAGTATTTCTTATTTATAGGTGAGAGAACTGCTCCTGCTTCTACTGGCTTACAGCTGATGGACAGCAGTGCCTTTGTGTTTTTCCTGTGCTATTTCCACATACCTGGGAGAAGCCTTCACACCATGCCATCCAAGGTGCTCCACTCTCCTTTCTGAATTATTCCAAAGAAGGCTCTTTTTTAGTGGAGAAGGTGTAAAAACTCTTCAGCTCTTACATGAAAAAAGAAGTGTGATTGCTGTCTTCTGGTTTCCCCTTTTTTTTTTTGCCATGTTTTATTTTAAGCTTGTACACTTTGAGCTTTTTTACCACAGATTTCTGGGAGCAAGTGTATTTTTCTGTTTAACACAGAATTTCCCTCCGTCAGCTGTTGTGTTTTCTGTGTGTGTACTGCAAAACACAAAACCATATTTTTTTCCAGATTCAGCCTCTTCTTAGGAAAGAGGAGACAGAAACTTGGATGCGCCAGAGGATCTTTGTGATCAGTGAGACTCACCAAAGTCATAGCAGAAAAGAGGGAGTTTGTGCAGGATCCATTGCTATAAGCAGAGATCATTCTCCTCTCCTCCATGAACCCAGCACAAACTGCCCTGCTATGTGGTGAATGTTTATCTCGGCTGGGCCCCACTCAGTTGAACCACACAACTAATTTAAGTAAAATTGCCTGTGCCAACTTGCCTGTGCCTATGCCACAAAAACCTACAGGAGCTCCTTCTCAGCAGACATGTTTTTCTCATGTGAATAAGAATTTCTACTTCTAGTCAAACAAAGAAAAATAACCAACACAATAACCCTGGGTTTTTTTTTTGATCTAGTGAAGGTTTAGAAGAGGTGAATTAAAAACAGTTTAGCAACTGGAAATATAAATGACTGTACTGCTATAACAAGGCATGTTTTACACTGACATTCTCACAGGAGCAAAGACGAAAACTGGAAATGAAAATAAGTGAGAAAAACAAAACTCAAGGGAAAAAAAAATACACACAAAAATCCACAACAGATAACATTTTCTCCATGCCTTTCTTTATGCCTTTCTTTATGGGTTAGCTTTGGAGCTGAAGACAAAAGTCTCAAAGGTCTCACAGAGTTTCCTGGCTGCTGTCTTCTAGATGGTGGTTGCAGGACTGCCTGCATGTTGGGGGCTCTAAGATCCCTCAGGATTTCCACACATCCTGGAGAGGGAGATCACAGTGTGACTTCTGTTGCTCTTAGATGAGCTGCTTCAGAGACAGTTGCTGAACCATGATGTGGGTCAGTAAACTGCAGTGTTGTGAGAAAACTCTCTTTCTTTATTTAAAGAAAAATCCTTAATCAGCTGATGCAAGTTCTATCAGGCACGGTCCAGAAGGCTGAGAAGAGAAAAGGCAATCAAACACTCTGCGTTGGCTACTTATACAATTTCTCAGACATTTTCAATATAAATTCTGTGCCCAATTCTTTTTTATAACTGCAGGCCACTGAAAGATTGATTATATCCCAGAATTGTTAAGGAATCAAAATGGTCCAGGTAAGATGGTGCACGACTGGCAAATGATGGGGAACAATCTGCTCCTCGCAATGGCCCCGTGCACGAGCCCCCCCCTCCAATGCAGAGCACTGTGGCTCTCTGTATCTTCATGGTTTTCCAATCACTTGCTGGCTGCATCCAATGGAAGAGGCACCTTTTCAAGATGCCAGTGACAATGGATGTGATAGGAATCCTTTGAAGATCCATAGTGTAAAATCTTTCCCTGACATCCAGAGTTATGTTTGTCTTCTGGGAGGTAAACATCCTTCCTTGCTAAGGACTAGATAAAGGCACTCTGTGGCAAGTGTCTTTCTTGTTTTTTGAAGCTTGGTCATCTATTACTGCCAGTGCCCTTACGACTACGAATTAAAAATCAGATGTAGATGTCAGAGATTAAAATGGAGAAATATTTTAATTGAAATTATGTCAGTAAGCAGCTAGTAGTTCCATTCGAACCTTTGTTTACTGGAAGGAGAAGAAACCATTTGAGTGTATGTAAATTCAGTGTCCCTATTCATGACTGCTTTCATTTGGCCCAAAGCAGTTTGAGAGAAGTCATTTTGCTGCATACAAGGGGATGCTCTACCTGAAGAACTCTAAGATAGAGAAAAAAAAGATGATTTTGCCCTTTTTACTTTTTGAGGATGATTGCCAGAAAGTCCTCTGGAATTCATTTTAAATTGGCTTGTGCTTTCTGTTTCTTGTAACTCAAAATTCAACACATATATGCACAACAAAGCCTGAAGATTTGTAAATAAAAAAGATCTTTACATCATTTTTTTTTCCCCTTGGTTTTCGTTTGCTCTCTTTTTACTGCATTTTCACTGTTGAATGTATTCATTGCCTTTTGAAAGACACATATTATCAAAATATGTGGCCTTTGTCTCATACGTTCCTTCAGTTCCTTTCAAAATGTACTTTTCAAGTGTATTCAAGAACATATGGCTGGTTTATTTTATTACACCAGGTACATATCTTCTATGGGAAGATTCTCTTTCCCTTTTATTTTGCCATGCTCTCAAAATATAACTGATTACTAAACTAGCAACCTACTCTTTTGACTTTTTTTGAGTAGGGAATTTTTCTAAAATTTCCATGCCATGCAACGCTGGGTAGCTCCACGAGCTGTTGTGAGCCTCCTGGAGACAGGACATCAGTGAATAAGACTCAGCCTTCTCTTTTGTTACAAACACAGGTCAATCCGAGCAAGTGTTATCAAAGTAAAGAACAACTTAAGGAAATTCCCTTAACATAACAAAGTCTGAGAATGGTAGGATTCCCTCCATTCAAACGCTTGGCCATACAACATAAATATCCAACAATGGATTATTTTCAAAACATACCATTATCCAGTCAACTTGTGCTTCCTATGTGTTTTTCCAGCAGGAAAGTGGCATTGTTGCAATCAACTGCTATTTTTTTCCAGTTCATTCTCTTTCTGAACATTCTTTTACTCTAAGTTAAATTTGGTTTATTGTGTTGTTGTTACATTTTTAATAAGTCTGTATGCATAATTCTCAATTTGTTAATGGATTTTGTTTTCCTTCCCACTACTCCTTCTTTCAGTAAGATCCTTTTGCTATCTATGAGATCTTCAGGAGACCTCTGACTTCTATGATTCTAGGATTACTGTGCTCTAACACACAGGATCTGGTTTACAAATGAAAATTAAATAACACCAATTATTTAAACAATACCTTTGGTCCAAAGGTCATGAAGCATTCCACTGCCTCTGCAAGCAAAATTCTTTCTCCACAACCAAAGGGAATTGTATCTCTGAAAGAGACCACAGCAGCTGCTGAATGATGCACAGTCCTACGGCACAAGTCTCAGGACACGAACAAGTACTCTACCTAGCTGAAACGGCAAGGGGAATTTAGAGAGAAAAAGCATCATCAACCAGAATGAGACACTCATTGGAATTAACTGGGAGTTCCACCTACAGGACAGGTCAGGTCAGTGTACTTGCTATGCCTTGTCACGGAATCGATGAATGAGTTGAACCAGCTCTTCTACATGACAGATAACCTCATCAGGTGACATCTGTCCTCCTTTCCCAGCCTCTGCACTTGCTTTGATTTTAATCAAGCACAATTCTCAGCTGAGAAACCTCAAATGCCTGATTCACTTATCAGTAGTTCATGCTGAGAGGGAATTGAAATGCTCACTACCAGACTGTCCTTCTGAGACTGACTTCCAGTCACTTTGCCTGGAGATGGTAAATTAATGGATGGTACTGGGACCAGAGCTCACCACAGGGCTACACAACATATTACATGGACAACCTCAAATGACAGTTTTCTGGGTGCTTTGGGTGGGAAATATACATGCCGTACATGAAAGAATGAATTTACAATTTATTCCTAACCCATACCCAAATACATCCAAAAAGGATTTAGCTGCCATACAGCATACGTTTGGTCCTCAAGTATTATATGCTTGATTTTCAATAGGTGTCTTTAAAAACCATAGCTAGACACATGATGCAAACTTTGTTCTGCTTCTTAAACAGGAACATCACTAATCAGAAGCTACATTTTTCTTCCTGCAATAGATCTCAATTATTAAATGAAGACATGATACTCAGAAATGGAGTTAGATAAGCCAAGCTGTGCTGCTCCCAGTTTTAGAGCAGAAATCACTCTGGGGACATATTCTTATTTTCTCACAGTGTTTCTCACCTCACATTAAATGATTTATAAAGTTAAAGGAAGAGGTTTTGCCTTTTGGTTTTGGATCCCTTCCCCCAAACACCAGCATTACAGTAGATGAGAACAAAGTACCCATTTCTCTGGTACAAATATTTCTACTGGTATAAATTAGAGATTGCCATTTTTATGACATGCATAATCAGAAAACACCTTGCATATCCACATTATTTTTACCTTTCTTAGAAAAACTTTCTTAGTTTCTGATTATAAATGCCCTGCTTTAGGAATTAAAGCAATAATTGTGCTAGTGCTATCATAGGCAATCCCTTATTCTGTTATAAATTGATCATCTTGCTTCAAGGAATAAGGGATGTGTGTGTGAAGCTACAATGATTAGCAGCTGTGATTCAAACTAAATAGAGAGCAGCTGTGGAGCTACTTTCCTAATAGCAATTACATTTTTACAAATATATGCTCCTATATATTAGTAGGAGCTTTATGAAGGCTTGTCTCAGTAACTGCTCAAATCATTATCACATGACCAAAAGAGCCAACACAGTTAATTGAAAGCAGTATCACAATACTAGGGAGTACCTAATTTCTTTCTTCAGGCTTCCTGTCTCAAAGGCAACAAAATACTCCAGCATGGATCTTGATGATATAGATGTTCATTCTTTCCTCTGTTCTCCACTACATGCTGAAAGACTTGGACAGAGAAAATCTACACTGCCCTCTTGCAAACGCATATATGCAGCTTTTGTCCAAAAGGTTCCTCTTTTAAAGTTGAAATTCCCCTTGCTACAAAGTACTTTTATTTCTCATAAGTGTCGGTATTACTCACGGTATCCTTGAACTCCTGTGTAGCCCCAGTCTTCAAGAGAACTGTTGCTTGGATTTTGCTTGTAGGAAAAAGCCCTTTGATTGTAGGAAATAACAGTTTTTTCATTTTGTTTGTTTTTTAACTAAGGCTTGATAGTTAAAGCTGGCAAGTTCTACTCAATTCTGTTTGCCTAACTAGGTCTTATATCAGTAGAAGAGGAAATAGTTTTGTTGGCAAGGACTGACCTTTCTCCAGTGAGATTAAACAAAACTGTCCTTCCCTAATTCTCAGCTGCTGAAAGCCACCAAGTTGATTTAAGATCTGATGATGAAATAAAAATAAGAGCTGAATGGATTGCTATACAAGAATGGTGATTTTGAGATTGATTCCATAACAATCATGGGAAATAAGAGAAATCTATGGCCATCCATTTACCACAAATTCCATGCTTGCCAGGTTGTGTTTGAGTTTTCTGTATGACAAAGAAGTTATGCTTATTTAACTATTTTTACATATAATTCTTTGATAAAATGATAACTTATTTCCTCTGTACTTTGAATTTATTTACATTAAATTTGTTTCTCTTGTAATCTCATTTCAACTATGCCAGCTTAGTAGAAATTCTAACTTCAATATCCATTAAGATTTGCTTTAAGTTGGCATATGAACATGGAACAAGCCTCATAAAAGCCCAGTTTAACAATAGCAGTTGTGCTTACCAGACGTAGACCAAACATTATTCATATCTGAGTCTCTTGTCTCTGAATCACAATTTACAGATGGCATTCAAAAAGAAGCTGTCTGGGGAAAAAAATTCATCCTAAATCTATTACCTATTAAACTTCATTGGAAAATAATTTGAAATCAGATTCTATGCACACGTTTTCCTTGTCTGAGACAGGCTACTCAGCAGTTGTGATTAGAAATAGAGAAGTAAGCTGCTATGAGTGAAAAAAGAGAAGGTTTTCCGGTCTGTAGCAATCAGAGAGCTATAATTTGTTTTTAACTCAAGTTCTCAGTGAAAGCAGCCAAAAGAATAATTTCTTCAACTAGATCAAAAACTAACAGAATCTAAATTAAGTGTTTTCCAAACAAGTTCAGCAAAATCTAAAACCTCAGAGCTTTTACAAGGTTTGATTTTTTTACTTGCTTGCAACTCAGTGTTGTGGTTAGCAAAAAGAAACAAGAAGTGATTGAGTGTCTTCTTCTCACTGTAAGATTTCATCAAGAGTAATGATGGAAGATGCCTCAATGTTG